AAACCACAAGCCTGCTCGCAAGACTCTAGCGCAAGACGCCTGCTGCTTTACAAGCCTTCGATTAACCGAGCAGAATCCAGCCCTAGTTATTACAATAGTTCGGAATCGGAAAATATAGCTATCGTTTAGATGATATTCAAATCCAGCCATTCCCTCGTTATGGTGAGGAACAAAAGTAAGTGTTATTTATTTTAAAAAATATATTTCAAATCCCGCTAGTCTCGCCAGTGCAACAATGGTTTTTTTCCTGGAAATTAAGCAAATGCTTGAAGTCAATTAATTTCCCACAATTTGTTTAGCTGAACTGAATCTTGAATACATTTACTGGGGCGCTGCACGGCCATGCTCGAAGTATGCATTCAATAGAGGATCGAAATAAATTTTTTAATATTACCTTTTGATTTACTGCTGGAAGGCAATCTCAATGAAATCAAATGTCTTTTTTTTCTTGAGGCTCATATCTGGCGTTCTTTTCCGTCTATATTTCTGAGAACCTATATAGATCTAAGCCCAACTGTTCCGAAACCAAACGAAATATACGAATAAGCACGCGCTTACTCACTCCTAAGAAATAACCTAAACTAAATGAAGTTATGTTTTTTCATCACCAGCGTGTATATCGGGAGTACTTACCTTCGTATTTTTGTTAGTCTTTATATATATCAAATGTTATAAAACTTAAAGAAATAGTAATAACATTGATTAACACAGAATTCCTTGGGTGGAAAGGAGGAGATGCTGTGCCTGAAAGCGATGAGAAATGATGACTAAATCTATACCGAAAACTCTGGAGCACTGTAAGGTGGATTTGCCCTCTCGTGAGACCGTGAGATCACCTTGAGAAAAGATCAAGGTGGAATCTGGACCACAAAACGTACAGCGCGCGTACGAGAGAGAGAGAGAGAGAGAGAGAGAGAGAGAGCAAAAGGGAAAACTGGGGGGAAAAGAAAAGTGGAGGGGGCGGGAATAAGCGGTGAACACTGAAGACAAAGGTGTATAGAGAATCGTTAACCCTTTCACACTTAAAACAATTCGTAAATATTAAACACCGCATCAACACCTTTAGTTCACCTCTTTAGTAGCAAAGGTACATGAGTGTGTGTGTGTGTGTGTGTGGGGGGGGGGTTAGGACGGGTGCAGTTGGAGGAAAAGGGGTAGCGTATACAACCAATCTTTACAACATTGAGGTCAAAAGCCAAGAGGAGCTGATAGTCTTTTTGTGGGACCTTCCACTCAGGCATTTACTAGAGGAAATGAGCAGTAACAGAGACAGACATATAGA